ATCTCAGAAGGCTACTAACTTGTTCAATGTTTGTGAATTTAACTTTGTAATAATTTGATTTAATCTGTTATTCAAGTCCCTCTGTGAACACTAACATGGGTGATGATACATCCAACTGGGTCGTCCAAATTAAAACGAAACGAGCGTCTTGAATTCTACTGCTAGTCGCAACCCCTTTATCTTACAAAAGATATACATTTGATTAGATTGTATATTTCAATCATTATTTGAATTATATATATATATATATATATATAACACAATGACGGTTATTTTTTGATTATTATGGTCTGAAAGATTTCATTATCAACATTACTATCAAATTTTTAAATTAAATAAACAAATTTAAACAAATAAGCAAAATAATAGATTATAGTTATTGTTATATGATCAACTATGTAATATTTAGGATTCCATTCAACAAATGAATGTATTACCTCAAGGCACATAGTAATAACAATAGTAATAATAATAATAAAAAGAATCCTTACTCAAATATGAATGATCTGTTTACCAATGATTAATAAGCTATCAGATATATCTTGTTAACTCTATCAACATTTTCATTGATTGAAAATAAAATATCATTATTGTGTATAAATGAACTAGTTAACATTAATATAAATAATAATAGTATGAACATTATTACTATTATTATTATTACTATCACTATTATTCATCTTCCTGGCATTATGATACATTATATTCTGTTTATCATTACATATTACATGTATCATCTTGATTTAATTATGTAGACTCTTTAACATGTTTCTAATGTTTATTTAATTTACCCACCCTCCAAAAAAATCATCTGATTTAAAATAATCAGAAAACAAATTCAGTAAATTCACTTATCTCCTTTTTTTGGTATTTTATTCTGTATACTCTGCCTTCTTACTTACTTATTATCTATCCTTTGTTATTTTATTTTTATATGTTCTTCATGAATACAATTATACATATGTTTACTGCCTATTATTATATCTAAGTCTGATGGTGTAATCTTATGTTGTTATAATAAGCATGAAATATTAACGGTAGTATAGATGACATTATATTCTCTATTTACACTTGCTTGTGGATAGGGTTTTAGAGTGGTTAACAGCGGGATCTAAAATTTGCGTTCTGTCGTATTCGAGACTAGTCATCTGGATGTACCTGAATTCCAGTGTTAATATTCATCCTTGGACTTCTGGTTTAAACGTCAACTTATTGTTCATATAGTGATTGATATAAGTATTGAAGTATTCCACCCAGGATGTATATAATCTAAAAAAGACTGATCAGTCTCATTCCTTACCACCAAAAATAGAGGATTCAATAAGTTTCTGATCTGAGTAGAAAGTAATTGACACAATAAAAGAACTCAGCGACTACATAACTTGCATCCTTATAAACCAGGATGATAAGCCAGGAATACTTGTGAAACCTACCGATATCATTTCATGGAACAGGCATCACCAAAATCGAATGCATGACTTAAATATCAGTAAAAATATCTTTACATTGAAAAATGTATTGCTGTTGTTCTTTATTTATTTATTTATTTAAACACATATATATTGGTACAAAAGGGCACCAGGTACATATGCGCCACACAAAATAATGAAAGTAGGTAGATAAAGGATGAAAAGATAAGGCGGGCTGAAATGTACAACCAGAAGATTCTTTCAGTTAGGAAAGTTAGAACCATTCTTTATGTAGAAAGTAAAAGAAGGTTGCAGCAGGATCGCCACTGGCTTCTATTCTGAGCCATATCTGATAACGTCTCTAGCCACTGTGTTGCACTATCTCTCGGACCCCAACCAGGGAGTCGTGAAGGACCAACGGAAGCTAGCCCTTCGCAGCTCTCTTTCATGCCACGACACCATGTCATACACTGACCTCCTCTCCGCTTTCTCCAACCAGTCCCAGGGTCGGCAAATAATGCACGACGCGGAAGTCTCTGGGACGACATTCGTAAAACATGTCCGAGCCACCGAAGTCGGTGTTTCAAGATGGTGACACCAATTGAATTATCGTCTCTGCGCCCGAACACACGATGCCGAACCTCTGCATTACTAACATGGTGTTGCCACTGGATGTCAGCAATCCTTCGGAGACAACGATGATCGAACACAGAGAGACGTCTAACATCCTCAACTCGGAGAGGCCAGGTTTCACAAGCATAGAGCAAAACTGCTCTCACCGACGCGTTGTAGATCCGACCTTTTACAGCCAGACTAACATCACGAAGGCGCCAAAGATGGCCCAGATTGGCATAAGCCGCTCTGGCTTTCATTAAACGTGCATCAATCTCATCACTCACGCCACCACCAGCACTTATATAGCTACCTAGATACACGAACTTCTCAACTACTTCGATCTCCTCACCATCCAGGGTGAGTACAGGATGAGAATCCTGCCAGTCTTGTAGAAGTACTTTGCACTTGGAGGGTGCAAAGCACATGCCGTACCTGCGGACACTGATTGCCAACTGATTAAGTGCTGATTGCATGCCTTGGGCATTATCGCACAGTAAGACAATATCATCCGCATACTCGAGGTCGAGAAGTCGTTCTCCAGGCAACATATCCACACCGCCATTACTTACATCCATCAGAGCTGTTTCTAGGATGTCGTCGATGGCAAAGTTGAAGAGGAATGGGGAGATCGGGCAACCCTGCCTAACCCCACTGCTCGAATGGAACAAGGGAGAAAGGTGGTTGTATGCCCTCACTCTGCCTGAGGTGTTCGTATACAGGGCTTTTAAGATGTTAATGAACTTCTCAGGCACACCCTTCTTCAATAGACAATCCCAGAGAACAGTCCTGTCCAACGAATCGAAGGCCGCCCTGATATCAAGAAACACTACGATTGTTGGCCTGCGATAAGTATGACGGTGTTCTAACATTTGGCGGAGGGTGAAGATGTGATCAATGCATCCTCGACCAGAACGAAAACCAGCCTGCTCCTCGCGAGTCAATCGTTCTCGGGTTTTAAACAACCTACGAAGAATGATAGAAGCCAATAGTTTGGACGCGATCGAAAGTAGACTTATCCCCCGATAGTTGCTACAGGAACAACGTGAACCCTTTTTAAAGATAGGGACGACTATTGACTCATTCCAAAATGTTGGAACACTTTCTTGCTCCCAAACCTTTCCAAACAACGCAGTCAGTTCCTTAGCCAGAAAGTCACCACCATCTTTAAAAAGAGCCGGAGGTAAGTCATCTGGGCCAGGTGATTTATAACGTTTCAAGAGTTGGAGTTCCTTGCGGACTTCCGCCTCGTTTGGTGGATCAGTCGTCACCGGCCATGGGGAGCAGGACAAGCTGGTTGATGTTGCCGGAGCAGCAGGCCAGTTGAACTGCCCTTCGAAAAATTCCGCCCATCGTCCAAGACGTCGACAGATGTTAGTGATTGGCATCCCGTCATCCTCGTAGATTGTTTCACTCACACCAGACTTCTTGCTGCCAGTGGCTCGGATGAGTTGGAAGAGCTTCCGGCAGTTACCAGATGCAGCTGCTGCTTCCATCTCATTAGCACGCTCCGACCACCAGGCTTCCCGGTCCTTACACAAGCTTTGCCCGATTTCATTACGTAACAGCCTTCGTTTGTGGTCAAACTCACGGTCACCCGGAGTAGACCGACGGGCTTCCATCAGTTGTAAGGAGCCAGAAGAAACCCAGTGCTTGTAAGCGGGACGTTTCGCGAAGCCGCAAGCGACTTTACTCGCCATTTTCATGGCGTCATGAAGATGCAACCAATGCTTACCTATACTTTTCGGTGGGGTGGTAGCTAGCCTAGAGGCTAGCTCCGCTCGATACTTACTTGCAACAGAAGTTGCAGCCAGTTTACTAATATCAATCCGTTGGTGGTGGTCAATCCTTCGGCCACTGAAAAGTAAGGTGAGATTGGCGCAGACCAGGGCATGATCAGACTCCAGATAGGTACTCCAAAAGGAGCGGCAGTCTTGTACACAACCACGCCAGCGGTAGCTGATCGCGATGTGATCAATCTGAGTCCAGGCTTGGGATGCAGAGGGAGGACGCCAGGTGGCACACCGGCGATGACTGTGCCGGAAGTTAGTGCTGTTGTTCTTAGAACACTTTGAATGACATTTCTATATTTTGAATCCTTTAAAACCAATATTTCTCAGTTAATTCTTTTCAACCGACTAACCTGTTATATATGCTAGTGTGACCACAATAAATAAGTAAACAATATCAGCTCCTAAATCATCTACACTTTTGCGTGCTGATTATCCTTAATGTATGTATATTATAATTTTTATCAGAATACTCAAAACATGAAAAATGATAAAAAATTCTATCATATGATGAAAGGAGTTTACTAGTTACTACGGAATGAATCATTCAATCAACACTTTTTTATTCATTGTCTCAAAAGTAAATTTTGTCCAAACTAACACCGAAGAAATGGACAGTGTTTATCTAGTATTACATTTTAGTTTCTAGCATCTCGTCACCATGAGGAGTAACTATCAAATGAGTTAATTTTTAATATAAATTTTATATTGAAATCTTAAGTCCTATATTAATATGATATTCATCTGAAGTGTAAAGAAACTCAGTTTATTAATTCTCATGTCAAGATTAGTATATCTAACAAGCTGTTAAAAGTTAATTAGGTGGATTGAAATTTAAACCCTGACCCATTAAGTGAAAGTGAATCGCACTTATAATTTATGATTAATGAACAAACTCCTCGGTATTTCAAGCGGTTTGTAAAAAAATTTACTCAAAGATACTATTCTATGAGTACATTATAAATGGATCAAGAAACTGAACTTAGAATGAAACGAGAACATTGTCTCATCAGTAGTCAGATATACCCTGACAAAATGAATGTTAATAAATCTAAATTCTTAGCTAATAAAAATTTGTCATATTGTACTCTTTGTTCAGTATGGAATTAACACAACATCAAGTAAATAATGTCTTATACGTTGTTAATTATCCCATAATTACCTGACCACGTTTTTTTCTTTGCTTTAGATTTAAAAATATTATGACAGCTAATGCATTTTTATCATCTAATTGTACAGTTGACGATAATGTATCAGCTAGCCGTTTATTTTTACCCAAAGAATTACATATATCAGATGAATGGAGAAAATCTGAACAACGTTTGACCGCTTCAAATACATCAAATATGTCATCACCAATACATAATTTTAATATATGTGGTACATCTGTAACACCTATGGAATTATTTGCACAAATGACAGCTCATTATAAACAAATCTCTGAAAATTATAACTACGCACAATCAATGGAATTATTTTTGAATAATCCATCAGTAATAACACAACTCGCTTCAATGAATGTTAGTAAAATTACTGAACCAGTATCGATATCAACTTCAACAGCACAACAACCTCCCTCTTCTTCTTCTTCTGATTTTACACTTACCTCCTTAACAACTATTTCTAAACCATCAGACTTATCGTCAAAACAAATCGATAAAATTGATTCACCAACTAATCACAAAAGAATGTCAACCAATGATTTTTTCCATGAGTTTAATATATTGCCTAATTTGCATAGTTTATTAAAACAATCATTTGAATTAATAATTTGTGAGAATTTTTCAAATATACAAAATGATAAATATTGTCCAGAGGAATTATTAGCGTTTACTTTAGAGGTAATTGTAAATGATAAAGTATATTATAGTAATATTTATGAAAAATTAAATAATCATTGGTTTAAATTAGATTATATACGTGAATTACAAATGAAAGAAGACAATTTATGCATCTACTGCTGTAGTGACAACTATAATGATAATGATAATGACGAAGACGATAATGTTGACAATGAAAACAGTAATGATGATAATAAAAAGAGAAAACATCAAAATCAATCCCATCGTTTTCTACTAGAATCCAGTTTAGAATTACACAGAAATCTACAACATTCTAAACAGATTTCTGACAGTAATAATAATCCTTTAACTGTTATTTTAACTAATTCCACTGTCAAAGAATTAGTTGAAAAATTAAATTTACTTATTTCTAATTCTACATTCTCAGATTTATTTCATTCAAGCTTAGAAAATCATTGTAAATTACAACCGTATATAAAATCAAGTTCACCAAATCTATTATCAATACATTTAAAACATATACAATCAGATAGTTTTCAATCTATGCCAAAATCTTTATTACAAACCAATGAAAATGAATTAAATACTACTAATTCTTCTACATCATTAATAGTAGAACAAAATTTTTCAGCAAAAAATCTTGCTACTGATAACAATACTACTACTACTACTAAAAATGATATAAATAATATATGTGATTCAAATATTCCATTACCTTTATCAATGATTACTTCTGATCAAGTAAGTTTGCTTCATAAAGATCCAATAATAAATGTTCCACATGTAACATTGACAAACAATGTTAATTCAGATCATTTCAATTTATTATTAAACTATACTACAACTAATAAAAATGATCCTAATGAGAATAATAATAATATAACTGGTAAAGATAATAAAATTAATTCATCATTGACTGAAGCTTATTTCAATTCTATAAAAGATTATCATTTAAATAATCACCATGAAAATATAAAATTCTATGAACAATATAAACAACAAACAAATACATCTATTTATTCATTACAAAAACGTAGTCGTACACGTTTAAATGAAACACAATTAAATATATTACGTTCATATTTTGATATAAATAATTCACCATCAGATGAAAAAATTAATGAAATATGTAATAAAACTGGTTTACAAGAGAAAGTTGTCAAGCATTGGTTTCGTAATACATTATTTAAAGAAAGACAAAAAAATAAAGATAATCCATATAATTTTTCAATACCACCAAGTACTAGTTTAAATATAGAAGAATATGAAAAAACCGGTCGAATTGAATTAAATAATAATATTAATTCATTTAAACAAAATTATAAATTATTATATTTAAATAATAATGAACAAAATGATAAAGATAAAATGAATAATTTAAATTTAGAAACTAATTCAAATGATTTAATAATAATGAAGGATAAAATGAATAATGATCTATATAGTATAGATCAATCTATTGAAAATGAAAATATTAATAATGGATTATTGAATTCAACAATGAAAAGATCTTGTGAAATGGAATCATTAAAAATTATTGATCAAATGAAATGGATCAATCAAAATAAACGTCAACGATTAGAGAAAGATATTCAAGATGGTAGTTTAAATGATGAAGTACGTATCATTGTTTATGTTCAATACATATATATATTATTTTGAATTTAAGTGGTCTATTTAACTATGAATTTAAGTATATACTTCTGTTAGCTTAATATGTAGAACTAAATTTACTTCACTAAGAAGTGTTTATTTATTTAAACACATTAATATTGGTACAAGGGGGCACCAGATATATATGCGCCACACAAAAGAATGAGAATGAGTAGAGAAAAGGGATAAGGTCCATATAAGAATACAAAATGAAGGAACAACAAGAACCATAGAGTGTATGTTAGTGTAATAATATGAGTAATAATAGGGGAAACAGAAATGTACAACCAGAAGATCTCTTTCAGTTAAGAAAGTTATAACCACTGTTTATGAAGTAAAAGAAGGTTACACGAGGATCGCCACTCGCTTCTATTCTGAGCCATATCTGATAACGTCTCTAGTCACTGTGTTGTACTATCTCTCGGACCCCAACCAGGGAGTCGTAAAAGACCAAGTTTGATTTACATAGACTTAGTTCTTGTTCATTTTATTGTATATGAGATTTAAATTATAGATATTCCTCTGTATATATCAAAAAGTATTTTTTTTTATTAATGCGTAGTGATAAATAAATGGATCATCTGATTTTCTAAGTAATGTTCAAATTTATTAAGATAGTGCACCTACATAATCTGTGATCGAACAAATGATTACCAAGTTATCAACAATGGTATCCAGTAGAATTGACTACTTCATACACATCAAATCAATAGTTAGTTATATCATAAACTAATGCCATCTTTAAATTCAACTTAGTATTGTTTGTTTGAATCTTCCCATCGATTTGTTAGGACTGCAACTGGTCAGTCTCTAATTGGCATATGTGCATACTGTGCGTATTGCCTCGATATACCTTAATTCACAAGCATGGTTAGCAGAGATGGATAGTGGCTAGCAGTGGAATCCAGGACGCGCGTTTCGTCCTATTTGGGACTCGTCAGCTGGATGTACCTGCATCTCAGAGTTGATGTTCACTCTGGGATTCGAACCCAGTACCCCTTGCTAGCCACTATCCATCTCTGCTAACCATGCTTGTGAATTAAGGTATATCGAGGCAATACGCACAGTATGCACATATGCCAATTAGAGACTGACCAGTTGCAGTCCTAACAAATCGATGGGAAGATTCAAACAAACAATGCTAAGTTGAATTTAAACTTCACCCCATCGCACAAGCAAGTGGCTATCAGGACTCAGTGGCCGAGTGGATAACGCAATGGCGTTTGAAGCGAGGGTACTGGGTTCGAATCCCAGAGTGAACATCAACTCTAAGATGCAGGTACATCCAGCTGACGAGTCCCAAATAGGACGAAACGCGCATCCTGGATTCCACTGCTAGCCACTATCCATCTCTGCTAATAATGCCATCTTTATTTAGATAATTGATTCATTTCATAATTTTTTAATTATGACATTTCTGCATTGTGAACTATTGAAAATAGAAACCTTTTTAAAGAATAAATAATTTCACTAATCAAGCACATATTAGTATAGTCAGTTGTGAACTACATTTACTAAACGAAGACTAATAATACTGGTGGAGATTTGTAGCTCAGGTGGGTGATTTTGACGTTGGTTTGTTCTCTGAGCTGGGTGGTTTGGTCGTGGAGCTTTCATCGTCCAACCAAAACAAAGAAATAAACAATGACAGATTTAAGGTCAATAAGAACCAATCAACATCGAGGTGCAGAGGACAAGCTGTGAATCACATGTGGAGAAATTCAAACACTTCACTTCTACCCGAAGTTTGTGCTGATGATGTCGTTCAGAAGGACGATGAAAGCTCCACGACCAAACCACCCAGGTCAGAGAACAAACCAACATCAAAAACTAATAATACTATCTGACTGCTCAAGCTGGATAGAGGTTTGAACCTGGAGATCAATCATTAAAATCTAATGTTTATAAGTTAAATTCATCAATGGATGGATACTTTATGTAAACTGAAATCTTGTATATTTGAATATAACTTGTCGCAGGAAAAGAAATTGGTTCTTTAAATTATAACACTTTTGATATATTTCATAACACGTGAGAATATATTGACGAAATTTTGTCTTCTGAACTCAGTAAGTGAAGTTATAATTTCTACACAATAATTAAAAAAGATCGAGAAATAGGGGGTGGATTACATTAAAGGAACTTTTCCGTCAATTGGTATTTTTCTAGTTTGGTTTTTCCCTGTGTATTATATTTTCATCTAAGTAGTTTCTGCTGACTCAATGATGGATCTGCCAATAAAAGTTTGTGAATTGTTTAAAGTCACTAGAAGTTGTTGTTTGCAACTGCATGATATAGTATTGTAATGAATGAGAACACAAATTGGGGAAAACAAAGGTATATTGATGCAACATTATATAATATCATGGTGAATTCTGAGATTCATACAGTAAATAGTTCACTTGCAAAATGTTAATCACTTGTCTCAGGCTTGATTGTTATTTCATGTCCACATCAATCATTCTCTGTTCTTGTATTCTTCGATCTTCTTAACCTTCTGCCTCCAGGCATTTCACTTTAGATTGGTGTTACATACTAATCTCTGCAGACAACAGTAGTATCCAAACTGTAACAAATTTAAAATAAAGTAATCATCTATCATCTTAAATTATTCAAGGTTATCTGTACTGCGTATAATTTCCTCTCAAACAAGTACTTTATTGTTTAAAATTGAATTTAATCTATTAAATGTACACAATGGTTTGTCTGAAAGAATCCTATACAGAATCCGATTTTACGTTCAACTGTTAAAAGACCTAACATAATTATTTTTCCATTTGCTTACTTTTTCTAGAGACCTACATCAATTGTATCGATTGAAGATTCAGATGTTATGTATAATTACAAAAGAAATTTACATTCAACAATGACAACAACCACAACGACAACTCCATCAACAGAAAATACAGATGGTGATGTTCATTCATTTGTATTAGCTGATAATTCAAATAATTCACATGAATCTCCACCATCAATTACATCAGAAAGTTCTCCATCTATTTCTGAAACTCCATTATCACCAAGATTACCCATGATACCAGAGTTAGATAATCCTCAAAGTGTTCTCGCTGCACTTATTCATCTTGGTCATCGTAATCACATTCAGCAACAATCAAAATCTGAAAATGAACAGAAATTAACAAATCTATGGGAGTTCCCCTACCTCTCATCAACATCGTCATCGTCTACTATTCGTGGATTTTTAAATGGTACTGAAGTGTATACAGATCCAAATAAACTACATTGTCAACTAACAGCACTTATGAATGCATCATTAAGCAGAAATATGCCACATATTCAGACTTCATCAGATTCAAATGAAGCTCCATTAGATTTAAGCGCTAAAACAGCGCAATCAATTAGTGTAAATTCTACTGGTGATAATAATTTTCAAAATAGTTCTTCTTTTATTCTTGAACAAAATGCACAGATAATCGATAATGAAGATAATAATGACTTTTCGGTCAATAATCAAGATCAATTTCTTTCTGTCCCATCTCTAATTCAAACAGAACATGTTTCTAACGTTTATCGTTCAACAAGTACAACTTCTAGTACAAATGGTGGACGTAGGAATAGAACCAGTATTACAGCACTTCAATCTAGATGTATGCATTCAATATATAATTATCATAAAACCCCATCAGTACATGAATGTGATCGATTAGGTGAAATGATTGGTTTGTCACGACGTGTTGTTCAAGTATGGTTTCAAAATCAGCGTGCAAAAGAAAAGAAAATGGCGCGTGTTTCATCAGGACAATATAATCATTCAGTAAATTCATCTTTATTAACTGAAAAATTATCACCAATAGACTCTTCTTCTTGTATAGATTCAAATTATTGTCAAATTTGTTCAATATCTATTCAGAAATCAGAAATAACAAATAATTCCATGCTAACTAATCAACAAGCAACAAATGCTTGCAATCAGTCAACAAATTTTTCATCACACGCATCATTTGTAGATCATCTTTTCTCAGCAGTTCATTTGAAAAAGTTATTACGTTGGTGTACAATGGATACTACTTAATTAAATTGTATAGCCATATTTATTGTACTGTATATTTCTCCTTACATTACATAGTCCTTCCAAACTCTGTCACACAATGACTGGTAATTCTCCTTTCTTCATTTTACCTCCTCTTCCATACTTTGATGATGCATAGGAAAATTAACATAAATGACCTTATATCCATCGGCAAAAATCGGTTGAGATATCCGTAATTCCCATTCTACCCTTTGTTTTTTTACTGATTTGTATTGTTCTGTCAAATTTTACTTCACCCTGCTGTGTCTATTATTTCGAGAAAAAGATCCGTTCTTTTTAAAACAATGCCAAATAGTTGGATTTGCAGTAAACATTTATCAGGAAAGTTTCTTTTAGCACCAAATAAATACACTAAAGACAACATTAACAACGATACTATTACAGATTACCAATTAATATTTGCATAATATCTATGATTATCCTTTTTGTTTCTTTTTTTTGATCTGGTAAAACGTTTCCTTTTACTAGAAACGCTTTACAAAAATACCTCATGTCAATTATTTCATTAGTTTATCTCTGTAATTACATATGAATTAGTATGTTTTTTTCGATTGATGACAACACCACAGAAATGCGTTTATATTTATAACTATATTGTAAAAAGTCAAATTATACAAAAGTGTTGTTTTAAATGTTCAAGCTAGTAGCTGGATACCATGAATACATCCTCTGTTCGTTGATCAAGGATATATTAATGTGTAAAACATTACTATCAACACCAAATTATAGGTAGTTAAAATTGTGATTAAACTCTTCAGAGCAGTAAGAAGTATTTAGATAGGAACCATTGGTTAAGAGTAATGCACTTATTATTTTAATGTTCATAGCAATCTATTATATCATTCCCTTGATATACTTTACGACAAATTCGCTACACTAGTTTCGATAGAACTGAGAATGAAGATATTAGGGGAATGAATGCCTGAAGTAATAAGGGAAAAGTTTCTACTGAAGAAAAACGAAACATTTTGTATTTACTGAGAATATCCATTATAGAAGATTGGTAAAAAACTAATCGATCAGTGTGTTCACATTATTCCCATAATGAATATACAAACTAATTTGTGTGGTATGAGGGGTTTGTAATTTTAGTATTTTCACAGTTGAAATAACGGACTTATCTAGACCACCACCGAAAAACGGGAAGTACTGAACGACCGTTTCTGTCAGGGGTGATACTACTCATTAATGATCATCCACGATCCCGCAAGTGAGGATCGAACCCAGGACGTTCGGTCTCACAACTAAATGCTTAATCTCTAGACCGTTAAGCCAATATCCAACAGTGTTGACATATAGGGCTGTGCATAACTAAGAATTGATTGAAGTTTAATTACCTCATACATATTCATGGATAGGTACTGTTGAGGAGTCCCATGCCAGGACGAAGAGGTTGTCCACCGCTTCCAGTGATAGTTTACCTAAGATCAGTTCGTGATTTCAACTTTAATTCGTTCGGTGTTATTTCTTCTGACAAAATATTCATTATTCAGTAATGAAATGCATATTACAGTAAATAAGCAAACTGAAGGATAATTTCTGTTCAACAAACATTCTACTCAATCGTAAGACCTATGTTTTAGTGCAAAGTCGTAATGAAAAGACTAAGTGAAAAAACTTTTTCACCAGACTTTTTTCAATATTCTACTTGGATTAGTTAATAAAATAAACTTTATAGAAATAGTGGTTCCCAATTTGTTACTGATTACAACATATTCATTAAACTTTCAATAGTTATGCATTAATGAACGCTTTACTGAATGTATCAATAGAAATATCTTGCTAATTCAGATTTCCTCTTACATAATATTGTCAATAAAGTGTTCAACTGTATGAACAGAGGATATTTGTATTTTATACTTTAGTTACGAGTAAAAAAATAACAAAGCTGGAGATAAATAGACTTTTTTATGGTAAAGAATATGAATTTAGGATTGTAATAAAAAGAATCATACCCCTGGTAATAGATGCTTAAACAACTAATATCCAATGTATAAGTTGATGAGGTTATAGATTGAATAAAATTACAAGATTCATACTCAGAATAAATACAGATTAATTAGGACAAGAGGAATATTATTATACCAAATATTAAATTATGTAATTTACTAGATGATATACTTTAAGGATGAAATCAGTAGAAATCCAAATAAAATCCGGAAGTTCAAATAATTAGAAGCAGTAGAGGATATAAGTATAAGATGTGTTTAAATTAAATTAAATCAAGGTAATAAAAAGGTTTACTTCGCTTCCTTTGAATGAAAAATTGGTATCGCTTTTGAAATTCGAATCAATGTTCTACACAGGTAAATTGTTTTCGACACTGTATGATTGTCAAGCTTCATCGGCTTTCTGGCGAATAAACATAACATAAAATTTTGGAAAAAATGAGACTAGGATTCGTCCACAAGTAGTTGACTAATATATAGAATAAAATATTTGATTCAGACGATGTTCCACTGAATGTCTTTTGTTAAGACTACTGCAGTGTACGAGAACTCAGGTGGGGGAAGCGAATTTGTTTGTAAAGCAAAACAGCAGAATGCCTTCCTAGTATATGAAAACCATACATTAAATACATTATTTGCACAATTTTCCTTCAGTTGTCTCTTACGCACTTCATGATCTTTCCAATTCTATTGTTATTGCTTTCTGTTTCCCTTCCTGTTCTCTTCAGTTCAATCTTCTGTTGATAGACACTCCACTTCCGATTGCTGCTATGTACTACTTATATCTACAAACATAAAAAGCGTGCACTACACCATTACTGTCATCATTGATAACAATTCTGTTTTGGGTTTGTATCGAATTTCAATAGAATGATCATTCGGCTTGCTATTTCAGATAACAGAGATAGAAGAACTGCAGTTTACTTCATTGAATCTGTTGGGATGACCCTGCATTTTTCTCGCAAGCGATATGACAAGCTCGTGAGTCATCAAGGAGCATTTCAACCAATCAGCGATTAATTAGAAGTTGTGTGAAGTTGTTACTAAAATAACGAGATCCTGATTGGCTGGTTAACCCACTGCTACTATGTTTAGCAGTATTCTAGAATTTTCGGTGAAACTCAAGGACTCTTAAATTACTATAAAATCCCCATATTTTCTGTACATAAATGAACCCTGTAGTAGAGTGCTTCCCACACACTTTGTGCCTTTTCTCTTGTCATCAAGTCGCGGAGTAGTTCTAGCTCGAAGGTTACGGAACTAGCTTAGGGAAGCGAATATAGCGTTCACAATCGGCAAGACGTAACAGAATCTCTTCATACTTTCGAGTAGCTGATAACATTAGCATAAGCAGAAAATAATGAAATTAAAATAGATTTGAAGTTTTTAATGTCAACAGATATTGACTATTCCAAAAACATGTAAGCCAATTAACAATTTTATGAAGTTCGTGAATAAAACAACAACATAATCAACTGATCATACCTGGCATAACTTAACAGAGAAAATATTTGCCAAACGTACTTTTTCCATCAGATTCTTTAAATAAAACTATGACTCATGGTGTCTATAAACTTCTTACATAGTATATCATTGCCTCACATAATCTACCTATATCTATATAACCGGGTAATAAAATTAGTCTTAATATGAAAACAAGCTGATAACTCTTGAGAGATGTTTCTAAAGCACGTCATTATTCGTTCCATTGTCTTTTTTATAACTAACTTTCAGTTGCTTCTATTATAGCGAATTGAAACTAATCGATGTCCAGCCGGTTTCTACCACCTCAGATAGCTAAATGTTCGAATCTGAACATTCAAGCAAGCAAAAATAATCGTTCAAGGCGCAATCTTTTGAATAGTAATACCCATAAGATTGAAGAACTGTTTTTTTATGTAATATTTTTTGGAGCTACCAGTAGTCCCTCTACCGTCATTCGTTGATCACTAAAAACTTTCAGAAATCCCAGTCAGTTCAGCCATGAGGTGAGACGAATCAACATTGCTTGTTCAAAAAACGTTTAATTCTGATTTCAATGTAAGTTGTTATACAAAATCCCTAGTCGTTAAAGATGTCAAATTTATGCAGTAGCAGTTTTTTGTGTATCGAAGCTATCTACTTTTTAATGTTGTTAGTAGATTGACAGTAATCGTGGAAAATATCAGTGTTTTAGTGTTTACCATGGGGTGGTCGTCTACAAAGATACTAATTAAATTAATCCAGATAAGTCACATTTACAACGGCACCCACCATTGGTGACGGCCCATAGGAGAAAGTAAATTTATACATGAATTTAGCAATCAGAATTGTCCAGAGTACATCACCATCTCATCACGTAACCAATAGATCTAATTAACGACTGTCTGCATTATTTTATTTATCTTAAAGCTTGAGAACGAGCCAAATTCTTAAAAACAAATCCTATAATTCGTGCAGTCTTTGAGCCATTTTTCACCATGACATTTTCAAATTACAGTGGACAGGACTGCGGGACACAATTACAAATGAATAGTAAACAACAAACTTTTGCAAAATAACAGGGCAGCCAGTAGAAGTCAACAGAAAGTGTACCTAACTGCCAAGGACTTATTGTTTATAATAATCAAGCAGTTGAGCAGGTTGCGAACAGAATTATTGTTCTCTAGACACTAGTGCTTGAAAACAATGGATGCTTGGTTTATGTCTGAATAAGATTCTTTTAGCTATACGATTTAAGTTGAAGTTCTCACGTTTAGAACTTCATAAAATTCCAAAACAAGATGCTCATCAGATATGTACGGGATTTTGAAATAAGAAGTTATCCTAAATAAACGTTAATCTTAAGTCTTTTTACGATTGAAAATGAATTTTAGAAAATTTATAAAAATAATTAATTTTAGAAATAAAACTTCATTGACAGGAGTTGGTAATGACAAAAACTGAGGTCACGTAGGCAACGAATGCATTTGTTTTTTACGATCGGTGTGAAGATAGTGCGTTTGCAAATCCAAAATGTCTTCCTAACCAGAATAAATATATTATGGTGTGGGTTACTAATATCCACATAAGTTGTGTATGATTATGGTCAGGCATAGAATGTATCTCAGCAGAAGATCGATAAGGAAAGAATCGAAACGGAACACAGTTTTTTATGAAAATGCATGAACAATGAAATCAGAGACAATAGACTGATACTTGCAGAACAGTCAAGATTGAGACAATTGACTGATAGTTTGCAAATTAACTGTTTACTCTGAACCAGAAACTTGACTTAATCCTGAAGGTGTCATTCTGCTGGCTTAACAAACGAATTTGTCAAGATTGTAGTAACTATATGCAGATTTCATCTATGTATTTGAATAAAAAATCTGATATTCTCTAAGGATGCACCGATGTAAAAAGAGGTATAATTGTCTTAGCAGTTGATGATTGCCAATAAAAGCAATCCGAGTGACAAAGCCTTAGCTGACTTTAGTACACTTTGTTTAGGCCTCATATAAGTAATACCCATGAGCTGAGTGAGATAATTGGCAATACATTTCAATGGATAAGAAAGTTCTTCATTGGACTTTAGCAATTAGCCAAAAATAACTCCAATATGTCCAACTAAAAAACGGTGCGTAGGGGAGTGCAACTGAAAACAGTCTTGAAACCACTGCTACCTCGTTAAAACATAAAAACCTTCCTATCCTTGCATGTGAATCTATTTTTCACACGTTCAGAGACACATAGGATGAAATTAGTCAAAAAAGATGTTGCAAGGTTTTAGAGAGATTCAACCTATTTGAAATAGTGATCTAAAAGCTGTTGAAATCAATAAATACCAACAAGTGCATAATAATACGGAATGTCTGTCAAGACGCAAGCAAATCTATGGATGGGTGTCGATATTGGTTTTAGAGCTCTTTAGAAATCTCAGCCTAAGAAAAAACTTACACCTGAATATCGACTTTCACACCCTAATGCCAATCAATGGAATTCGTTTCCAAAACACTCAATAACGACTCGCTTTTCAAGTAAATCATAAGGAAAATCCCATTAAGTAAAATGTGTTGGTCGCCAAAACTAATTGAAAATTTCTTACTACTTATTTTTCTTAGCGGAAATCGAAAAAGAAGTACGGAGTGCATTAAAATATTACTTTTAAACATTTTGGGGTATATGCAAACAACTTAAGGAAGCAAAATGAAAAAGAAGGAATTCAAAAGATTTTCAATCACAACAAGATCCCATTAATTTCGAAATGTTCCTCTGTGTAGAAACAGGAAACCCGGTAAACACCTTAGAAAAATAGGATAAAATAACCTTAGCTGAACAATGTGTTTTATAAGTATATTATAGCGGTAACCATTATTACATACGTACATCACAAGGCGTTGAAAACACAGTGTTTACAACTAAAGAAGGGATATTTATGTTCTTACGTCTGCTGATGGTAACAAAGAAAAAGACACAACTCAATGACAATGTAGATACGCTGCACAAAATGAAACCTACATTATTCACCCTTGATGCAAAGCCTTGGGATTGGATAACAATTTAAAAAAGTTAGATACATAAAGAAAAGTAATCTCGCTTAGTTTCGCTTTAATGAAAACCAGTTGATCGTCTTCTGCAACTCGTCGATCTTTCTATCCTTCAGTGACAAAAGACTCTCAAGTTTCCTAAGTTTGGCGTGTAATATCTCAATAGTCTCATTCAAAGTTATACACTGTTGAATTTTTTCTTCAAGATAGACACGAGGAACATATTCAGAACGTTTTGTCAATGTACACTTTGGTCTTTGATCATTCACATGTACATGCCCATTTGGACTATGTTCCCGTGCAACAGATGTTCTTCCAGGGTATCTGATAGGATGATCTAATGAAGGTGGACGAATTCCTGGGAGAGACTGAGAATTCCCCATTCTTTTGTTTCGGGATTTATTCACAGGAGATTTTGAACCATCATGGACTCCACGAGTATGTGGATAGCGATCGGCCTCAGGTTGATAATCATAAAATTTTCCCTTATCATCTGTAACCATTCGCTCAATCTTTGTTCTGAGTAACAGTAAAACTTTTTCGATAGTTCCTGGCTTGGCAATAGATAAACTTTCTATGACGTCATCCGAGAGCTCAAAATTTAGCTTTTTGAAAACTTTCCAGTTCAAAAGTTGCCAGTTTTTACGTTTGGATTCAATAGAGTTACAAGTTGGGAAGTTATGTACGTCAACAAATTTAGGGAAAAAATGCTTCATGACTTCAGCCATCAGAACACCATCTGAAAAGTCACGAGCAATGTTTCTCTTGATTCGAGATAGGGGTATTTTGTCAACCCATACATACAGATCCTGTAGTAGCGCATCATCCATATCCATTCATATTGTTTTCCCGAACCAAAAGTATGCATAACAATCACTATGTTGAATAACTTATCGTTGTGCAGATAAACAAATTCTTTGAATTGTGTCAGGTTACACCATATACCGCTCTGCCATTATATTATAATCGGGCGAGGAAGTCAAGATTTTAGTTGTAGTGAATTATAACTGCAGAATATGTCAGATGATCAACAACCTATTGAGATGACTGATGTAGATCTTGTTTGTGAATTCTTATTATTCTCACTCTTTGTGGTTTCATTTAATGTGTAAAGAAAAACTTTACTGCTATGAAGTGTTTTTGAGTTTCAGTATGCACTGCTAACACGTTACATTGATTATGGATCACAAAATAAATGTGTTACACACATCAGATCTTGATGTCACACGAAAACGTGTCCAATATAACTGAAATCTTAGATTTCTTAATGTCACATTGGTGGAGCAGTCCTCATTTTTTTGAAATATACATTCCATGTTTTGAAGTAAACTATTTGACGCCATTGATTTTATGCAAGTAACATGTAGGCAACGTATATGTATAATAATTTGGCAAATCGCCAACCCATTTTTCACACTTCTTTCGAACAACTACTATAAGTTTGAAACTTTCATTTATGTTGGCTATAATTGTCTCGTGAGCCCACGAATTTTTCTCTGTTTTGTTGTGGTATCTATATTTTAATGGTGTACTAATTATTATTATTATGACCATCATCACAATTGATTGATCACTGGGTGATGATCAATGTCATGCATGTCAAGTCCTTCTTAATACTGATCGAATGCTATCGATCAAGTTGCAATGTGGCCACCAGTCTAGGTGGCTTGACACTGCTTGCACTATATATATATTGAGGTAAGGTGGTAGTGGTGGCGATGGTTTCCTGTTAATTAATTATTAATTATTAATAATATATTTCTGCATTGGCAGGTACACGCCATTTTTACAGGTATGATCTACAATTTACAACATATACTGGTTCACAGTATGCATCCCAAGCAAGCTTGTTTAGTAATTATAATCTATAAAAGTTGATAGCAGTTCATTCGTTCAGATATAATGTGTTTTCATAAGAATATAATTCCAAAGGGGCATAGCGTACACGTTACGTGCCAGATCCAATCTCGACAAAAAGTGTATTAGGGTTTCGGTCGAGCTAAGTATTTATGTAATGCAGCCTTTTAAGTTTATAGTTGTTATAAAGTAGGCTTGTGGAGCGCCTGGTTCGAGCTATGACCTTGGGAAAGCTTGTTCCAGATGTCAGAAGTTACATAGCTTCATCCTCAGAGCAAGATTCTGGAGAAAAAAAAGAGAGAAACCGAGGAGCAGCAAGGCATTTGGATATGAACGATAACCAATGCTTAACATTTATTAGTGGAACAGATGGAGGTATTATAAATTATTAGATTAAATTGATACTAGCTCATGTTGTAAGAGTGAACTACGATTAGGGGCTCCAGAGGAGAGAATGCAGTAATAAAGAACAATGAGTTGTGATATTTATCAAGGTAGAGTAGGTTCCAATGGAGGAGGGAAGTCAAGGTTGGAATGAGGAGTGCATATAGAGAGTAGAGTGTTGAGTAAAATAACAATAATAACCATATCCTTTACAGTCAGTTTTTTTTCATCATCAGATGCCTGCCACACAGTTTTCATGTAAAAGTCCGAGTTAGCATGTTAAAGGTTGTCTTAGTAGAATAGTTAATCCAGCACAAAAATTAGAAACATAAGTCTGAATGGTGAGTGTAGGAGAACAATCTCAATATCACAGATCTATTGACTTGTTCTCATCCATAAAGAGCCTGATACAAACAAAATGTTCTGCCCCACAAACACGGGTGGATTGAAATCATCGCCCTCACCATCAGTGCTTGCTGGTCAGTAACTCCACCCTCCCTCCTTTTGTGATGTTAAAATAAATAAAAAATGAGCTTTTTAAAAAAATTATTTTTCATAATAAATAATGGAGATTTAAAGCAATTAGTCCCTTTGATAAATTTCGATAATGTAATAAGAGGACGAAGATTATCAGAACTATGTGATATATTAGCGCAATACATTTCGAACAATCTGATCACACATATACTTGTTAAGAACATTTATATATAAAAATAAAAGGTCAAGTAGACTGGTAATAAGGTTAAGAAATAGACAAGGATAATAATGATAGAATAAAATAATGTGAAAACAACTTGACACCTAATCACTCTGGATAATAAGCATTTATTACCAGGGTAGGTTTAAGGAGAGAACAAACTGTTTTTTGAATACACAAAGGGGGTTTGAATTTTCGTATGGCTAAGGCTTCAATAAACCTCAGTATACGCCCTTTTACACTTTTAAACAACACAACAAAAGCTGAGTTAAGATCAATCTTATGACTTGTTTCGATTATATGTTTAGCAACAGAGGATGATGGATGTTTATCCTCTACTCTTATTGGGTCATTCGACTGTATTTGTTTTTGCAACCATTTTGGTACATGTTCACCCACCCTAATTTTCAGATCACGATTGCTCCTCCCTATGTATGTGTGACCACACACACATTTAAATTGGTAAACGCAGTGGGATGTGACACAATCGTTTTCATGTCGTCTAGGCTTTGAATGAAGCATGGACCTTGTTCTTTCTTTGATTATGACCTTTGCTGCACAATATGTTTTGTTGATGACTGATTTAAGCCTTTGTTTCAGTAAAAGGCTATTTGAATCACCTCTAAATGGTAAGGTGATGTAAACAGGCTTTTTCTCTACCAAGGCTACAACAGGTCTCGCTGTGCCCATAACTTTCCATCTATTGATAAATTTAGGTGGATAACCATTCCCGATTAATGTCATGGTTAACAACTTAACATCGTCATCAATAGCGTCGTTTGTGCAAATACGACGAAGCCTGTTAAAAAGGCACTTTACCAAACCACGTTTGTATTGCACAGGGCAATAACTATAGTAACTAAGATATTGACCCGTCCACGTCGGTTTTCGAAAAATGGATCGTTTTATTGAGCCATCTTCTCGTCTGCTTAGAAGTACATCTAGGAAGGGGAGTTGGTCATTCTTCTCCTCTTCGTATGAAAGACTGATATGGTTTTGGATAGTGTTAAATTTATTCAATAAGCAGTTTATGTCTTCCATTCTTTCACCAATTACTAAGATATCGTCCACATATCTCTTATAAAGTGACATGTTTTCGATTAAGTCGTCAGATAAATTTTCCACATGTGCCATATACACATCTGCTAGTAATGGCCCTAACGGACTACCCATAGCGACCCCATCAATCTGGCGAAAATATTCGCCTTCAAAATTGAACTGAACTTTATCAGTACATAAAAGTAATAACTCTTTAAGAATTTTTAAGGGAATAGGTAAATTAAGGTTGTTTGAAAATATATAGTCACATAAAATGTCAATAGTCTTTTTTAAAGGTACATTTGTGAATAAGGAATTCACGTCAAATGAGCACATAGTTTTTCTTTTGATATTAATGTCACCTAAAAGATCGACCAGTTCAAAAGAATCCTTTAGGGAATACTTACATAAACGTCGTCGAATAGGATCCAATAATTTTGTTAGCCATTTGGCTAGGTTATGTGTGGGTGATCGGCACATTGATAAAATTGGACGTAAAGGAGTATTTAATTTATGAATTTTGGGTAGACCATATAAAAGAGGATACTCAGAGCCCATAGGTTTTAAGAAATTAAATTCCTCTTTATCAATAACATTCATGTGTAACAATTTTTCCAGGTATGAATTTACTCTTCCCTCTAGTTTGTTAATACCTCCGAATTCAACATCAGGCATGAATTTACTTTCATCACTGAGGATGGATAACATCTTATCCTTATATTCACATTTATGGAGAGGGAATTCGAGATTAAGTCTGCATCCTACATGCAATAGTCGTTTAGATGTTCTGGAAATCTTACTCTTCTTCCAGAACGCGTTGTTTTAGGTTTATTTTCCGATGTGGACGAAGTGTCAAGGTGTGTGTCGGCTGTCGTATGGGGTACTACAAGTGTAGGAGCCGTATCGTTCGATTGTACCGGAGGAAATTCGACGTAGCTAGGGTTTCCTTCTAAGTACGCTTTTTTTAAACGATCGATACTGATGCTATCGTGCCTTTCTTATCGACTATATAGTACTTGGGTTCACGTTGAAGAACTTTGAAGGGTACTTCGTATGCTGATTCGAGAGGTTGTCGATGTGAGTCTCGACGAACGAAGACGTGTGTACTATGTCGTAATTCAGGTTGAACGAAAACATCAGTTGATTGAAGTCGAATGTGAGCAGGTTTAACTGAACGCATAGCGTTTGTAAGCCTACTCGTGTAAGAGTTTAGATCCATGCTCATTGAAGAAGCTGAAGGATCTACGAATCCTCCTGGGAGTCGGAGTGTCGTTCCATAAACGAGTTGAGATGCAGTGTATCCAATGTCAGCTTTCACTGCATTGCGGATATCTAGCAAGACGAGTGGAAGAGCGTCTGCCCACTGTGAAACGTTTGTAGCTGATAGTGAAGCTTTAAGCTGTCGATGAAAACGTTCTACCAACCAGTTTGCTTGTGGGTGGTAGACGGTCGTTCGGAAGCGCGTGATTCCTAATAGTGAGGTCAGACAACGGAAAAGTCCAGATTCGAATTGGCGTCCGCGGTCTGTAATGACTGTGGAAGGGTAGCCGAAATTCGCTACCCATCGTTTGACGAAAGCGCGAGCCACTGTTTCAGCAGTAATGTCCTTAATCGGTACTGCTTCTGGCCATCGAGTAAAACGGTCTACGCAGGTTGAGAGATACGAGTATCCGTTTGAATCGGGTAAGGGTCCTACCAAATCTAGATGAACTTGGTCGAAACGGGCGTTAGGGGTTTTGAAAGAGCCTAAGGGACATTTGTTGTGCCTCACGACATTATATTTCTGGCAGCTTACACAGGAGCGTGCTCACTCCCTCACATCTTTATTCATACCAGGCCAGCAAAACCGTTCGGCTATAAGCTTGATGAATGCACGAACACCTGGATGAGAAAGATTGTGCAACGTATTGAAGACGTTGCGTCGATAATGTTTTGCTACTATTGGACGATCCCTGCCTGTAGATGTGTCGCAAAGTAAGGTTTCCTTACCTGTTCCCATCTGCTTAATACGTAGTTTAAGAGTTGTCGAGGATAACTCATGCTGAAGATCAATGTCTTCTTTTTGAAGCTGAGCGAGTTTAAGAAGGTCGATTCCTTGGAAACTGTTCAAGGAACTTATTAGAGACAAGGCAACTGTGACTACATTGTTTGCTCCAGAAATGTGTTGTATGTCTGAAGTAAACTGCGAAATGTAGTCTAGTTGTCCAGACTCTCGTGGTGAGTGATTGTCTGAAGATGAACTTAAAGAGAAGGTAAGAGGTTTATGGTCGGTAAAAAGCATGAATTCTATTCCTTAGATGGGATGTTGGAAATACCGTACAGCACAATACATAACTAGGAGTTCCCTACCGAACGTGCTGTACCTAGATTCCGCGTCTAGCAACCATCTCGAGAAAAATCCTAAAGGTTGCCATGAGTTGTTAACCTATTGTTGTAAGACTCCTCCGATTGCTGAGTCGGATGCGTCTACGGCAATACTAATGGGCGCTTGATTGTCCTGATGAGCAAGCAGGGTTGCCTTAGCGATCTGTCCCTTAACCGTGGAGAATGCTTTACGGGCTGTGTCGTCTAAACTAATTTATTTTGCATTTCCATGAAGTTGGTCGGTTAACGGTTTCATAAGAGATGCGCATTTAGGTATGAACCTTCTATAGAAACTTACAAGGCCGTTGAAAGTTCGCAATTGCTTGATCGTGGTCGGTTCTGGGTAATCCAGAATGGCCGCCACTTTGCTTCTAAGGGGTCGGATGCCTTGGGCGTCAATAGTGTGTCCTAAGAAGTCTAAAGAGTTTGTTCTGGTTTGGCATTTCTGAATGTTGACAGTAATGTCATGTCTTTAGAGTCGTTCGGAAACAATGTCCAGATGCTGGAGATGTGATTCTTAGTCCGGAAAGTCATCAACATACACATGTACGAAGTTGAGACCTCGGAAGACATCATCTATGGACCTTTGGAAGGTTTGAGCCGCATTTCTTATACCAAAAGGCATTCGCAAGAATTCGTAAAGACCGGAAGGAGTGATGATGGCGGTTTTTGGAACGTCGTCAGTTGCCATCGGTATTTGGTTATAAGCCTTAACTAAGTCGATTTTCGAAAAGACAGTTGTACCTTTCAAGGTAGCTGTCAAATCGTGAATATGAAGCAGCGCGTAGTGATCGGGAATGGTTTTAGCATTCAGACGCCGATAATCACCATTTGCCCGCCAATCGTTGCTGTCCTTTTTAGGGATCATGTGCAATGGGGATGCCCATGGACTATTTGATGGTCGAATTATCCCTAATTCTATCATATGGTTGAATTCGTTTTTGGCTAACCTAAGCTTTTCGGGAGCGAGTAGGCGGGCTTTCGAGAACACAGGTGGTCCTGTAGTCGAGATGTGATGTGTAACATTACTGGTTACACAAGGCAATTTCGATTGCGGTTGGTATATCCCGGAGTATTTGTCGAGTAATGATTGATACAGGGGGTCTATGGTGTGCTTAATTGTGACTGGGGATAAACTGTAACCAGAAAAACGAGTTACGCAAACGGATAACTTAGTGTTTCCGTCTATGAACTTTCATGAGCGTGTGTCGGTGAGTAGATTGTGGTATTGTAACAGGTCTATACCAATGATTGGCATCGAGACATATGCAACAACGAAAATCCAGTGAATGGGTTTGCGTAAACTCACGTTAAGGTAGACGTACCTTTTACCGTATGTAGCGATCGGCTTTCCGTTTGCCGCCTGTAAACTTAAAACAGACTCGCGAAGTCTGTCGTCGGGATTTGCTGGAAGAAAGCTGACTTCTGCGCCGGCGTCGACGAGGTAGCGAACTTTCGTGGTCACACCGGTGACATATAATAGACGACAGTGTTCGCCGTCTACGGTTGAAGTTAACGCGTGCCGGCTGGGAAGTTTCCCGAAATCCTATTCGTGTCAGTCGCCCTAGACTTCGGGTAACTGCAGGGATTCCTGCAATTTCTAGAAGATTTACCGTACTGGTTATGATACCAGCACCAGTCGGGATTGTCTGTCTCTCGTGGTCAAGAGCCAGATCGCTTACGTGAGGCGCTTCTACGCGGGGTTTTTGATCGACTACGGTCATTACGAAATAACAGGTAACGTGTTGGTGTGTGACATAGTTCGGCTATGTCAGCCTGAGTCGATTCAGGTTTTTGCTTGACGGAAAAAACCTCGGCGCTAGTCGATTTGGTAATTTCTAAAATTCGATCAGCAAATGCAGCTAGTTCGTCTACGGCGTTGTTTTCGAACGAGATAAGAACTGTTTGCGCCTGTTTTGGGAGTTTGAATAAGAAAAGTTCTTTGAATAGGCCTTCGTCGAAGGTTCTTTGACTTATCACTTCTCTCATCCTAAGCAACATATCTGTAGCAGAAGCATGTTGCAGGTCGATGTTATGGAGGAGTTGGTCTAACCGTTTTCGATCGGTTAGGTCTCCACGTTTTAGGATCGATCGTTTTAACGTTTCATAAGGTTCAGGAACACCACTAGTAAACATACTAGGTGTTACGTACCTGTTAAATTCGCGCAGTAACGCCTTAACTACCGCGAAGAATAATGTGCGCGAGTCCGTGATTCCGTGCCCGCAAAAATCAGCTTCTGCGTAGCAGAACCAGGACTCGATATTGTCAGGCCAAAATGGCGTTAAGTGAATGGAAGTTGGGGGAATAGATATTAACTTAAAAACCTTAAAAGACTGTTCCGTCATGGTAATAAAGAACGTAAAATATTTAATTAGAATATATCCTGAAAAACTCGAGAAAAAAACTATATCACAATATATAAAAATCAAATAAAGGATAACAATGAATAATAATATTACAAAAAGGAACAGACTCACAGTTTATTGACTTGGTGTACCAGATCACGTCGGGCTCACCACTGAGGATACGACTGGTATTCTAGTTTTACAACTAGCGGCCAGTAGTACCTTCTATATTCCAAACCTTTTTACGCCCGATAGAAATCAGAAGTCAGACGAGAAGAGGTAGGAAAGATATATTTGATACGTTACCAATATATCGAGAGGCGTTTGTTCTTAGCTATCTAGTGAAACGTAGGAGCTGTGTCCCACGCCGAGTTGAAACGTGATCTGGTACGGATGCATGACCGAAAGCCTTTAGTTAAACAAGTCCACTTAAACAACGTGGTCAGCATCCAATGTCAAACCTTAGAAAGCTATTGATTTTGGGGAATTATTTACAGCTACACATGATTAAGGTTGGCCATATGATACCCCCGCCTCTTCATGAAACTAATTTTTCAGTCATTTTACAGTATAAATAAAACCCATAGCAAAGGCCCTAAGTAGGACCTTTATTCCGGATACCAATCAAACAGGGTTTCTGCTGGGTTTTTTTGAAATACTTCTGTAATTTTTCAAAGTTGAAATCATGAGTCAATTGAAGCTAGACCACCATAGAAAACCTGGAAGCACTGGACGGCTGTTTCGTCCTATTATGGGACTCCTCAGCAGTGCGCATCCACGAACCTGCTCTCGCGAGCGAGATTCGAACCCAGGACCTACCAGTCTCGATCCGAAGCCCTTAACCGATAGACCACTGAGCTGACATCCATCGGTGTTAATGTCTAATTTCAACTGATCCACGAAGTTGAGCAACCATTCACCAATTGTCTTCAGTGAGTTCCTATCTCACAACAGACGTGGTTGAACTCCACTGGTCACTGCTTCCCACTAGAACTCCAGGACATGTATCTTGAAGTCAGTCACTAGTGAGAATATGATTATATTTAGAACTTCTGTAAACCAATAGCAAAGGAGCTCGGCAACCACAATCACTGGCGCGAGAAGTAACTAGTGTGCTACGAAGAAATTCTAAGGATGACACTCTTTACTAGTGGGACACAAAATGTCTTTAATTCAGTTAACATCGGCGCAAATAAGACCATAAGTGCTGCACAAAAAACGGCCGAAGTTCAGTCTCCTCCAGGGGATACAGTATCGTGTCTTCGCTTCAGCCCTGAGTCTATGCAAACGACCTTCTTGGCTGCTACTAGTTGGGATAATCGTATTAGAATTTGGGAAGTCCAAGCCAATGGTTCTACCATTCCAAAAGCCGAACAGATGCATCAAGGGCCTGTTTTTGGGGCTTGCTGGAGCACCGTAAGTTGCACTTCTTTTATGTACTTAAACGTTTTCTGTTAGGATGGTTCAAAACTTTTCAGTGTATCAGCAGACAAAACTGCGCAAATGTGGGATCTTGGTTCAAACACTTTCACGCAAGTTGGTGTGCATGATGCTCCCGTTAAAACTGCCCATTTTATTACTGCTCCAAATTATTCTTGTTTGATGACAGGTTCATGGGATAAACGACTTAGGTAAGCTGAGGTTTAACCTTACAGTATCTTGTCTCGGTTAGTTCTCTAAGTCTGTTTAATCCGGAAGCTACCAATATTCTCAGCGATTAGCAGGTACTGTATATTTATGAATGCTTGTCAAGGTAGAGAAAGCTCTTAAACTACTAGGATCAAATGAGTATATATGAAAAGTCTAGTTGGTTTATGCATAAATATTGAGTCTCAGGTCAGATTTATAGATGGCATTTGCTGTTACCAATCTTTGTATCAGTCAACTACACTGCCAGGTTTAGGTTACTTGATGGTAAACCCTGGTTTCTAAACGGTGAGAGTATGTTTGTACATCTCGTTCATTTTAGTCTCATCGTAATTGCTTATTTATTTTTATTTACCTAAACGCATAAACATTGGTACAAGGGGGCACTAAATAGATATGCTCCACACAAATCGAATGATTTGTGTGAGGGCTGGGATACTGGCCGGGTGCCCAAACAGAAGCAGGTGGTTTTCCTAGGGGGTCGTACCCGGAGCCTTCGACCTAAAGGTCTAATCCACAAGGCAGTGGAGCGACGTAAGGAAATGCAGTCCCATGGTAGCCGGTTACCAGTAATTGGTTCATGCGCCATTTGTTCCCTCAGGATCCTGAAGCCCATGTGCACCATTGGTTTGGAATCAGGGTTTTCCCACTTCCTTAGGTGGATCTCCGTGTCCACCAACCCGATTTAAGCACCGAACCTTCGCTTTTCGTCCTCTCAATTTCGTAAACAACACCCCGCTGTCTTACTGCTAACTATCTGTGCTTTAAAATCTTGATTATCATTTATTGTAGCACTTGTTGTATTCTCACTAATTGGGTTTTGATGACATGTGTACAACACAGAACAACAAAATTAACATTTATTCCTCGAAATATTTCTAATAAGCCATTTGTATTCGTTATGCAAACAATCCAATATAATTTTCCTAATGATAGTCGTGCCAGTATTGTATTACTGAAAGTTATGTAAGCTTTAATTCGGTTTGTTTTGGCTAAATTTTTTAATATAGTCTACATTAACTGGGATTTTCAGTGTAATATTTTGTTTAAAAAAACTGTTCAGTAAAAGCCAGTTAATTTTGCAGTCATTTTAACTCAAACAGCAAAGTACCTGTAGGTCTTATAATAAAGGAAATAACTCACTACGTTTCCATCATAACTTCAACGCAACAGCTACGTCTAAATTCTTTTACCGAACTTTGTTCTGTGTCTATTATACGAGTAGATGGGCTCTATAGAATCATTATCAAACTATCACACCCCTGTCTTCCAGAAGGTTTGAAATAACTGGTTATCCTAGCACTCGTACATTGTAATTATTCCTCAGACGTCAAGGGGAGTTAGATAGCCTGTTTCCTTTCATCTTCACTTATGGAAAATAGACGATTAAATTCGACAGCCATTCGACAAGTAAATTCTTTAACTTATTTTACTACGTATACGACTCCTCAGTAATCTGGCTTTTTAATCTTTTTCCTTTCTCCTCGACCAGACATATTTGTACGTAAGCCACTTTTTAAAATAATTTCAGCTACTGAAGGTCCATAGTATAACACCGCCAGCTATTTTTGGTACTCATCAGTTTATAGACTTGTAATCAATGGATTTGCAGTGTTGCAATATTCTGTAGAGGAAAGAAAAACAGCATTTTCTTCAAGGGATATCAATTTTCTTTTGATAACAATGACATATTCTTGTATAGACTTGTAACTTTGATCAGTCTGGAAGCTAAATGTGCCAGTGATTCATAATACATTACTTGAAAATGAAACTACACTTTGATGAACTAGTCATACACCTAAAATCCTTAACTAGTATCATGACTTGCAAGTGAATTTTGTATTTATACCGCCTAGATAATTGATAAACTGAGCTTACTACCCCTCCTCACAGTTGATTTTACGGATTCTTTCTAGCACCTTTTGTCAATTTATGAATGTCCTGACAGATTTCTTTCGGAAAATTTCTATTTTTCTTGTCGAGGCGTGAAAATCAAAACTTCATTCATGGACATTATTCGGTATGCTTATTACAGTTTACTTTATATAAACAACTAGAAAGTCGTATAGCTAATATCTTACTACTTTACCTTCAGGAGCTTTTAAGGTAGGTCTAGCAGACTTGATTCTTAAAAATGTTAAGATTTGTAACTTGTAAGGCAGTTTCAATGAATAGTCATCTTTCAATTATAGACAAATTAATCTCTTTACAGATTCTGGGATACAAGACAATCTCAGCCTATTTTAAACTTGGATTTACCGGAAAGGATCTATTGTGCTGACGTTCATTATCCACTTGCTCTTGTCGGGACTGCAGGTCGGCAAATATTTGTGTATAATTTAGAAAACGGTCCTACTCAGTTCAGCCAACTAGAGTCTCCTCTTAAATTTCAGGTCAGTGTGTCTCATAACCTCTTGTCTTTCTAATAGCTCTAAAGGTGGTTGGACATAATTTAAAACCAACGTAGATAGATAATGTACGAACATTCCTACGGATTGTCATATTATTATTTGTTATATAGTTTGTTCCGCTATTCGTTTTGGTATCCTTTTAAAGTGAATGATAATTAGGAGAAATGAGAGAAATTTATAACTTTCACTGTATAAGTTTTCTATCTTTTCTAATGATGTAGAGTATTTAGTTTTTATCACATTGGTGACAATCTCAACTACATATAACATCACTTTAGTTAAGAGTTGCTTACACATTATGGACACCAAGTGTCCACTTTCCAGGGACACTCTTAAGTGCAAACACCTGTCGAAAATCCTTTGCAGGCATCATAAGTATAAAACTCTCACAAATGCCAAAATAAACGAAATTCTTTGTCATTTCCAGTGACTCACTACTAACGCTTTGTGCACAGGTAGTCTCTTGCTCGTATCGTAAAATCATGTTGCACTTCTATAGTACAAGCTGTACACCACGTTTGGGAACACTGACACCCAACAGATTAAGTTATATTTAAGTAGTTTGTGTTTCACCTCATAGTCAAACTATCTTGTCCTCATACTTAACATTGAAGTCTCTTTAGTTTATAGGTGTTCACTCTCACCATTCAATTCTTTTAAAACTTTTTAAAGTATCATCAATAGGAAAGTTGGAGAGAGATTTTCACAGGTGTAAAACCCTAATTAACTTCATTGGTGGTTATTTATTTATTTAAACACATAAATATTGGTACAAAGGAGCACCAGATATATACGCGCCACACAAATCTCATTTGATTTATGTGAGGGCTGGGATACTGCCCGGGTGCCCAAACAGAAGCAGGTGGTTTTCTTAGGGGGTCACACCCGGAGCCTTTGACCTAAAGATCCGATCCACAAGGCAGTGGAGCATCGTAAGGAGATGCAGTCCCATGGTAGCCGGTTACCAGTAATTGGTTCATGCGCCATTTGTTCCCTCAGGATCCTGAAGCCCATGTGCACCATTGGTTTGGAATCAGGGTTTTCCAACTTCCTTAGGTGGACTCTCCGTGTCCATTAACCCGGTTAAAGCGTTGGATATTCGCTTTTCGTCCTCTCAATTTTGTAAACAACACCCCTGCCACGAGAAGGCAGTGAGTAGGACTTCCCTGACAGAGGCTATATATTCGCGTAGCCATGTGAGAGCATTTGAAGAGGGAGAGGAGACTCTCCCCACTCGGCCATACCAGGGCATTTGGTGTTTTAAAATGATGCAAGGAGGCTATCCTATACTTTAACTGAAATCATCTTAATGTATTATTAGTCTCTCCAAACATCTTTTACCCCAGCAAATATTTCCAGAATATAGTTCTGTCCAATAAATAAGAAGCAACCTTGTTATTCGAAAGTAAAATGGTTATTTGTTCACAGTTTTAATTATACTTTCCAGGTTTCTTGTGGGAGACAAAAATGTGATTATTGTATTCACAACCAAAAGGAAACTAAACTTCTCACAAGATTTTTTCACGATTTCTGCCGTATGCGCTCACTATTATGGCAGTTAGTAACAGATGTATGCCCTAGGGTTTGCCACATGAATTACCTAGACACTGTGTAAAGATAGATAAGATTTCATTGTGGAGTGAATAAACACCCATTTTACCTTTCCTTTAAGGATCTCCGTAGATTTCCCAAATTTTACCTTTTAGAAAGCAAAGTTGGTTACCCGAGCATTGTTTCCTGACGCTTCGGTCTTTAGATTTATCTTAAACTTTCGAGTTCTGGAATTCGTGGTCAAAAGTGTTTACTTCAACGTCAAAAACTTGTTGACGACGGCAAAATTTTGCTCAGCAAGAAAAATAAAAAAACTACTCATCAAGTCAAACTCCCCCAAAAACAGCAAGTTTTTTCCATCTCTCTGTTCTACGTTAATATGTTGGCTCTGTCAATTACTTTACTGTTAGAGTATACTTATGTATATTTGTTGAAACTTGGTTCCGAATATAGTTTTCAGTCTCTATTTATCGATAATCATGGCGCTGGTGCATTCAGTCGGTTGCAGACAACAAGAAACCTGACACGCGTATCGATCTAAGTTATTGTATACATTAGGTTCCAATGTAGTTTTTTTCGTAAAAATATTTCATTAACTGTCTTACAGATCTACAGATTGTCAGATAAATCTTTCGTGAAAAGCACATATTCATTGTTCCAGTGTCTCTGAATTTGTTTCGTTTTAGTTTTAAATCATATAATTTGATTCATTACCTTAAAAAAATTTATTTATTTTCTTTACTATTTCATTCGGACTTATTTTGTCACTATCTGTTGTTACTTTGCTCGCATGATGCTCTGATTTTCAAAATGCTACACAATAAAAAAAATAGTTTTTTAGCCATGCTATTGTTCTTTTTCACTAAAATGTACCTTTAAGCTCTATGTTAGTTGTAGTACGAAAAAGGATAACTCATCTGGTTTTTCTTTTGGTAAAGACAGAATCTGTTTATTATTCGACAAGGAATAGTTTGTCATGTTTGAATTAATGTCAAAGATCATATGTTGCTCTTCACGAGTCACTTAAATACGAATTACCTGGTTGTGATAGGGGGGCAGGAAAAATAGTTATGGGTTCATCTGTGGTATTGGGAAATTATATCAGGCTTGAGAAGCTTATATATTGACTGAGTACGATTTTCGTGCTCATTCTATAGTTTTCTGTGTGTAGACTTCATCCTTTTGTTAAGATTAAAACTTCATTGATTGTTCTACAGTTTTCACGAAATTCACAATTATATATCTCGTCTTAAATTTTTACGTTAACAGAGTCGTTGTATATCTATATTCATGGACAAACAAAAACAAAATCCCAGTGGATTTGCCCTAGGAAGCATTGAAGGGCGTGTCGCCATACAGTATTTAAATCCAACTACGCCTAAAGATAATTTCACTTTTAAATGTCATCGTTCTAATGCACCGGTCAACGGTTACCATGAAATTTTTGCAGTAAGTATTGTTTATTGTGCGATTCACATTCATGAAAATGATATAAGTAAACTAAGTAATATTTTCAATCTCTGTATGAAATGAAGCTTAATAAAAAAAATTGTTTCTGCACTCTATTAACATCCAATAGATTGTACGTCTCAACCTCACTTCTTATATCACGTTCTGAATTACCTGATAGTACTGTAAACGTAATGTTCAATTTATGAAGTCAGTTTGCACGTAACTACTTATTTATACTAGATGTTTAGTCAATTCTTTTTCTGGAACATGCAATTTATTTTCTAGATAGTTTTTATCACATAAACTGTTCCCACCTGATGAAAGAATTAAAACCAAGAGACATTAGACTTCTGTTTTATATCAGATTGGGACTCAGCTGTAAAGCAATTCTACGACCCTATTTTGAGATGATTTCAGGATCCTCAGATCACATCATGATACCATACAGCCACTAAGTTAAAGCACGATGGTTCATATTATCAACTTCAAATATAAGGATCTACATCACTTCTGACCTCATCAAATCAATAGTTGATAACTCCTCATTGAAATTTAGACTTATCTATTTCGATGATTGCATTATTAACCAGTCTACGTTTTTGGTTTGTCTTTCAAATTAATCAGTTTCCGTCATCGTATCATTTCATCCATAGATATTTTGATCGATATATTCTTTAACGATCTTGTTTGATAGCATCTTATTATGAAATCCAACTGCGTATGCTTGAGTTTCAGTGTACTGAAAACCAGCGTAGAATAATAATTTCAGTCGTCATCAGCGAAATGGATTTATCAGCGAGCGCTATTATTTTACTTTTTCATCAATTTCCTTGTACGTGCGTTATTTATAGTCATGTGATAATTTGATGTTATAGTTTTGGTCAGTAAATTAGAAGCATTCCTTCTCATTATATTTTCGGAAGTAATTACCAATATTATTATCAAAATATTGTAATCTACCTAATGTTTCGTCTTTCCTTAGGTAAATGATATGGCTTTCCATCCAGTGCATGGCACACTAGCCACAGTGGGGTCTGATGGATGTTATTCGTTTTGGGATAAAGATGCTAGAACTAAATTACATTCTTCGGATTCTCCAGATCAACCACTCACTTGCTGTGTATTTGATCCTAAAGGCCAAGTGTTCTGTTATGCGTCAGGTTATGATTGGTCTAAAGGATATCAGTTCGCCGATCCATCTAAACCTATCAAAATAATGATGCGCTTGTGTATGGAAGATATGACTCCTGGTAGAAAATCATAATTTGAAAGAGATTGAACAATGTATTTGTTCTTCATGTATATTTCAATATGTTCATGTAAACTCACCTGTCTGAAAAACGGAACACATTAATGTACAACTTCAAACTGTATTTTTATAAAACGTTGACAAGTATCTTTTTTTACTGCATCTTGCTCTTTTACTCTCGAACCTGTATGTAGAGCATATAGTTCATAGTTTGTATTTCCGATATCGTTACGCATAAGGTTATTTGATCTTAGAAGAATTGAGTCTGATCCCCGATAATTCAGTCGTACAACAAATTACCATCTGTAGAACTCTCCTTCTGCTGGAATCGTTATACATAGCTTTGATTGCTATAGTATACATTGGTTTGTATTTTAATTTTGATGATGTCCTTTAACAGAAATCCAGGAGAGTAAGAAGCACTCCTTGCAAATCATGGTAGTTTAATGCTGTGTTTTTGTTATAACGCGAAATATAGCGTATTGCGATAGGACTACGCGAAATTTTACCGATTGACCAAATTCAGATATCCTAGTTCGACCCCAATACTGTTTCCCAACTCCAATAAATCAGAACACAGCCGTTAAATGGGAATTGTTTATGGGGTCAGCAGCAGAACAAAGATGGTTTACAGACAAGGCATATTTATACAGTTACGATGACTATTAACAGTACCCAATGGAAAGAAAGGACACGTAAAGGTTATAATTAGGACGACTCAAAATTGACCAATAGGGAAACGACACATGAAAGTCATAGTTAGGACACTGTAAATAATGGCCAATAGGAAATAACATGCGAATTATGTGAAGAGTCTGGAAACATACCATTTTACATTCGAGATAATTTTTGGGATATTCTTGTGAATATCCTAACACCTCCCCTTGGAAAAAATTAATAGCAACGCAATCGTGGGTTTACCTGAAAGTTCTTTTGTTTTCTGCGTTTGCGTGCCGACCTCCTTCGAGGTAACGACCGAGAACTCGAAGAATGTTCTGCTTGATTAGATGACTGAGTTGCCTCCGTTGTAGGTATTGGCGGAAGTTGGAAAGTATCCAGTAATAAATCGAGTGGGACGCATTTCGTAACTTCAACTTTTTCCTTGGATTCTCTTGGCCTTAGTTGATTATGGTGCCTGGTCCAGATTTCTTTGTTTACTCTGACCTCATACATGACCTTCCCCTGTCTCTTTGCGACTTCCCCCTCTATCCATCTATCATACCCATGTCTATAGTCCCGCACATACACTTTTGCGCCAACTTCGTAAAGAATTCGGGTATTCTTCATGTGAGGACTCTGCTGGGCTACTCGCCTGGGTGTCATTGCACTATGAATTGTTCGTAGCTTCCGTCCCATAAGCTCCTCCGCAGGGGATTTGAAGTTTGGCAATAAATCATGAGGAGTCGTCCGGTACACAATTAGAAATCGTTCTATAATATCATGTGTTGTTCCCTCCCCTCTTGCCTTAAGCATGGCACGTTTGAATGTATCGACGAAGCGTTCAGCTTGTCCACAAGATTGCGGATGGTAGGGCGGAGAACGGACATGATTGATCGAGTTTTGCAAGCAAAATTCTCGAAACTGACTGGATGTGAACTGCGAACCATTGTCTGTTACTATTGTTTCTGGCAGACCATGCTGAGCGAAGATCTGGTTAAGGAGTTGGATGGTTCGAGTTGTAGAGGGTGGTACAATCGGCAATATCTCCGGCCATTTGGAGAAGGAGTCGACCAGTATCAGATAATTGGTACCATCTAGGGGTCCAGCAAAATCAATGTGCACTCGCGACCAGGGTTTTTCCGACTTGGGCCAGGGTACTGGTGGCAACTTAGGAGAATGTTTCGCAGCTGTTTGACAATGTGGACATGTTTTGACGAAGTCGACAATTTGCTTGTCCATATTCGGCCAGTATGCGTAACTACGGGCGATAGATTTCATACGGTTTATCCCTGGATGACCAGCGTGAAATTGGCGTAGGACCTTGGCACGCAGGGTTGTTGGAATTACTACACGATCACCAAACATCAGACAGACATTGACAACACAAAGAGCGCTGCGACGATTCGCTAGTGTAGCATCTCACCACTGAACTGCTTAACTGGCCATCGGCTCTGAACATAAGTGATTACTTCTCGAATAATCGGGTCGTTTCTGGTAGCTTCTCGAACGTTTTCAGCCGTAACAGGCATAGCTCGCATGGCATTCGCCAATAGTGTTGCACCAGAATCATCTTCCGTTGCTATTGTGGCTATGAGTGTATCCTCATCAGTTCTACAGTGCTTGCTGATAAGTCTGGACAATGCATCCGCTTCACCAAAATCTTCAGAACGTCGATACTGGATGTCGAAGTCGTAGCTCAGTAACGCCAACGCCCAACGTTGAAGACGATTAGCAGAATGAACAGGAATGCCTTTCTTTGATCCAAAAATTGACAACAGCGGCTTATGGTCTGTGAGCAAAGTGAAACGGCGCCTGTAAATGAATTTGTGGAATCGCCGGACAGCAAAAATCAGAGCTAAGGCTTCTTTCTCGATCTGACCTTAACGTTTTTCAGCGGCTGTTAGTGTTCTCGAAGCATGCATCACTGCTTTCTCTGAACCATCGGGAAAAACATGCAGTAGTACGGCACCCAGTTCATGGGTTGAAGAGTCAGCAGCAACTACAATTGGTAGTTTCGGATTGTAGTGGGTTAACAGTAGTTCGGAGCTTAACATGGCTTTAAGTTTTGAAAAAGCTAACTCACATTGCGTGGACCAATTCCAAGTAGCATTCTTTTCTAGCAGATGATTTAATGGATATCGTACATCATGTAGTGATGGTAGAAATGCTGAATAGTAGCTAACCATTCCCAAAAATGATCGCAGTGACGAGACATCAGTGGGAGCAGGCATTTGCTGGATTGCATGAGTATTTTGAGGATCAGGATGTCGTCCAGAAGCATCAAAGATAAACCCCAGGTATTTAACGGAGCGTAGGAAGAATTGGCATTTCTCTGGACGAAGGCGAAAACCATTATTTTGGAGGCGTTGTAGAACTAAATATGTTCTGGAATGCAATTCATCAGCAGTTGAGCCGACAATGAGGACGTCGTCCAGATACGTAGCAACACCAGGAACATCTGCCAGAATAGTATCCATAATCTGCTGGAATATCGCTGGAGCAGTCTTGATACCAAAGGGTAATCGGGTATACTGGAAAAGTCCTCGGTGAGTGTTGATTGTCAGCAATTCTCTCGATTCGCGAGCGACAGGAATTTGAAGGTAAGCATCCGCGAGATCTAGCTTAGCGAAGTAGGTACCACCATTTAAAATAGTAAACAAATCATCTGGGATCGGCAGCGGATAATGATGCTGTTGTAGCGCCGCGTTGAGTCCTGTAGAGAAGTCTGCACAGATGCGTATGGAACCATTAGACTTTTTGACAACCACAATTGGTGCAGCCCATGAAGAATAAGAAACAGGTACAAGGACACCTTCAGTTTCCAAACGTTGAAGTTCAGCGTCAACCAGAGGTAGGGATGCATATGGGACTGGACGTTTTGGACGAAAAACTGGCGTAGCTTCTGGCTGAAGTTTCAAAACAGCTTCAGTTGTGGAACAAAGACCAAGACCAGGCTGAAAGAGTTCAATGAATCGTTTTTGGAGGTCTGCAGCATGCTGTTGTGTAGTAGCAAGAGTTTTTACTTGATTACAGATAGTGCTGATAGGAAGATTGGCAAGACCAAGTTCTTCGAACCAATCTAAACCCAGAAGGTTGAGAGGAGATTTGGTGATGTAGCACGTTCCGTTGAAGGTTGTATCTCTGAACGAAATACAGCAATTAAGTTCACCATGAAGGCGGAGATGACCACCACATGCACTAATGGCTGTCTGCGAAGATGGTTTGATAGGAGGTTGACCCAAGGTTCGCCAAGTATCTTTCGACAGAATAGTGATAACTGATGCAGTGTCCAACTGCAATCGAACTGGCTGACCATTGATTGAGAGGGTAAGAAATTTGCTTCGCGTGGCGGCATGGGTGTGGAAGACTTCTGCTAAACTTCCTGATGAGGGAACCGGCTTTTTAGGATAATGATGCTGCGTCTGTGCATTTCGACGGCTATTGGGTCGATGGGATTGACAAAAACCGCTTTTGTGGCCAACTTTATGACAGCGATCGCACAGCTGCTGTTTGAATGGACAAAATTTCACATAATGCCAGGCTCCACAGTGCCAACATGGAGAGGGGGGCTTCTTGTGAACCGGTCTGTAGTAATTAGGAAAAGAAGGAGCACTGGCTTCCGTAGGACCACAGGTCTTCGATCTCGGAGGTTTGTTTCGACGTTGAACAGTGTGAACTTCGGAACCACCCTGACCCCCAGATTGGACCAAAGTGGTGTCACGCTGCAGGTTGACAATGCGTTGATACTCGTCGGTGATTGCATTAAGTGTCAGCGTTGGATCTTGTTCAAGGCGGTTCAGCAATCGAGTTCTGATGTCGGAGAATTTGGGTGATTGAAGACTACATATGAATACAAGGGATTTGAATTGGTCGTCGGTAAGGGATTTGAGCTTGAACCGTTCGCACTCATGGTTGACAATGCCAACATGGGTTAAGAAGTCATCGGACTCGTTCATGACCAGTTTTAAACAGCGATAACGCGTATTAAAAAGTGAATGATGGTCACCAAAAAGTTGACTGAGAGTTTGAACAGTGGCATCGAAGGAACGGTCTTGTGGGTTCTGCGGTAGAATGTAGTTGCAATACTTATCAATCTCTGATGGACCAAGTTTTCGAAGAAGAAGACGCACCTTCCACGAATCATCTCTGTCAGCAAGGTCGACTTTAAAAAGATCTTCATAACATCTGAACCAGGTATCAAATGTAATATTGGCATCAGGATCATAAAGAAACTCTGAAATACCACTAGTAATACCGTCGACTGATTGAGGGATTGTTGGTGTACATGAGACTCGAGAAGAGATCTGCGTCTGAGTAAGCATCTCCATCAGCTTCAGCTGTTGCTTGAACAATTCTTTTAATTTAACTGGATCCATAGCTAGTCAGCAACTTGTTTGCAAAATCTCCGTCGCCAAATTGTTATAACGCGAAATATAGCGTATTGCGATAGGACTACGCGAAATTTTACCGATTGACCAAATTCAGATATCCTAGTTCGACCCCAATACTGTTTCCCAACTCCAATAAATCAGAACACAGCCGTTAAATGGGAATTGTTTATGGGGTCAGCAGCAGAACAAAGATGGTTTACAGACAAGGCATATTTATACAGTTACGATGACTATTAACAGTACCCAATGGAAAGAAAGGACACGTAAAGGTTATAATTAGGACGACTCAAAATTGACCAATAGGGAAACGACACATGAAAGTCATAGTTAGGACACTGTAAATAATGGCCAATAGGAAATAACATGCGAATTATGTGAAGAGTCTGGAAACATACCATTTTACATTCGAGATAATTTTTGGGATATTCTTGTGAATATCCTAACAGTTTT